TACTAAAATTGTAATATTAAGGAAACATGAACAGAGTTCTTTAATGAGGATGGTATTGCAACAGCAATTCTGCAGGATATCTCTTATTCCTCCCAGATCAAGCTGGTACAATTCTCCCTAAAAATGTCTGTGGATGTGAAGCTTTTAAGACAGCAGGGCCAGTTTGCACAGACACACGTGTTAACCACGTTCATAAGTGGTGTTCTCCTTCTGTCCAAATCAAGAATGTTAAGGACATTACATTTTTTTTTTTAACCCTTCCATGGGTACTAAAACCCAGCACTTGTGAGCAGAAGGTGCAGCACAGAACAAGTTATCCTCTCACCCCGAGCAACAGAAAACCCCAACCCAAAGCCTCCCATTTAAACAGATCTTCCTATACGACAGTCATGCAGTGAACCCTTCAATAATAAGCATGGGCTATGTGGCTTTAACTGGTGATGTTTCTCCTCTTAAACCTTTACAGTCCTTAATATATACCTCTCATAAATAAAATGCTAGAAACGTGCCTCGTGATCAGTTACTCCAAATTTACTGATAAATTTGCAATAACATTTCAACGGTGGATTCCCCTTTTCAGGTGCATTCCCAGGCAGCTGAAGAGAAACTAGTATAAAAATACTCTCAAACTAATGTCTCTGAAAGTCTCCTTAGTGGCCAGCACTTACATGCTTCACATGCAGAAAGAGCAGGTTCAGAGCCTGGAAAAATGAAAGCCGGACTAATTGAGCTAGGGTTTGCCACAGAGAAAGGCCTTAGCCAAATTTCTGCTGTTATGTTACATTAGAAGAAAAGTTATGCTATGGTGGTATAAAAGTCTAAGTGAGAAGTACATTTTCCAAACATCCAGTGTGGGATCAATTTTTTGGAACAATCCTCACATTCTTCTATTACAGACTAGGAACCTTTTAGCTTTGTAATTGATCCTATCCTTATCACAAGGAAAAAGGCAATCTTAGGAAAGATTAAAAAGTGTGGTTGATATGCAACGGGACAGTGTCCAACCCATGCAATCCTACCTCTCATGCAAACCATCCTCCACCACTCAAAGGCAGGGAACACAAAAGCCTGTAAGAATACATCCTTTGTGTTTTCAGCTCAGCTCATTGTAATGCGTGTGGATTGCCTACAAATTTTAGTCTTTAAAAAATCAGTTTATAAATCCATCATAAATATTAAACACCAGAGTACCCTGGCAAGTTGCCCTGAACACAAACTTCAAAAAGTAATCTCCAAAAGAGATGTCATGGCCCTTGGGAGAACTGACACTGGCATGTCATCAGATGTTGTCTTATAAGGCTAAATTAAGCATCTGACCAGATTTTAATTTCTGTAAAAACTCATGCTAATTTAAATTGCTTTAGATTTAATTAAAAATGCTTTTGTATAGAGATAATAATGTAACTCTGTTAATTAGTATCAAGTGGCATCTAGAGGGCATATTTAAAAACTAATCTGGAGAATAAATAGAGCTAATTAACAGTCAGAATAATGCTTTATGATTGTCCTTTGTTTATAAATGCTATAATGTTCAATATGCTATTAAATGAAATTGGTAATTAATGTATATCAAAGTTATTTTTAATGCTCTTTTAACTAAAGAGTATTTCTTATGAACCATTTTTCACACGATCTGAACATGTTTCGGTTCTGACGGGAGGGAGGCGGAGGGACGGAGGGAAGGGGAACCGCCGTATGACGAACCACATGCGAATTCAATTAGGACCAGCTCATTCATCTCCCATAATGCAGACCGTATGTGTTTATGAGCCCGCAGGGAACATCCAGCGAGGCACTGCTTTGCATCTACTCTGTCTTTACCAAAGCAGACCACTGAGCATGGCAAAGGCGAGCCCAGGGAAGAAGGTTTGTGGGCTCAGCCCGGGCACTTTGTGCCACGCAGCACCCCTTGAGCAGCACCACAGTGCCATCCGGTTGGAAGAGTGGCAGCAGAGTCTGCCTTCAAAATCTAAACCTTGCAAAAAGAAACAAAGAGTTGCAGTTCAGAGGTGTGAGAACTGCTCTGAGATTTATGGTAGTATCTTTTCAAAGATCACAAGTTGCTCAAATGCTACAGGAGTGAGGACTGTAAAAGAAAGTAACGCTGAAAGTGAGGATGTGTTGCCATCCTATTCCTGGACAAGAGTGGAGGAGACAGCTGGGCAATTGCAGGCACTGACAAATGAGCTTGGAATAAAAAGGGCAAGCCAGATTTCGCAAAAGACTCAGTTTCTACATGACTTTTTATGGGCAAACACGAGCTCCTTCTGAGTCATCTGGACAGCTGCTGAGCTCCCGCTTGGCTTTGAGTGGGGCAGAGGGAAATTGTGCTTGTGTCTGGAAAAGCTTATGTAGATAATATCAGAGCTGACCATGGCCAAAGGGCTCAGAGAACTGCACTTGTGTTCAAACAGAAGTTCCTGTTGTCCTCCAGTCTCATCTATGATGACAGGTTTGATGGGATTCACTAAATCGAACACAATAATCGAAGTACTCCCAACTGTATCATGCAAGCAAAGCAGAGAAGATCAGCTCTGTCGTTCTGTGTCCTTTAGTGGTTAAAATTCAGAAATAACCCCTCCAAAAGGAATTAAAATAAAAAGCACTTTTATTTGATAATCTGCACCATCCATACAATGCAATTTTTGAATCCCCATCAAATGTAACATACATCCTACTTGTATCTATTTGTTATCAATAATTCTGTATATTCCTCCTTTTTTAATGCCTTGCTAATGTTGAAAACTCCTTTAGCTACCCAAAACAGAGTCTATTTCCGAAAAAAAAAACAGCAACTCTTGTCTCACGTCAAAGCTTCAGCATTACTTTGTAGAACAAACTTTCAGAATCAACTTTGAAGAGCATACAAAGAAAAAAGTAATTATCGTTAACAAGATTAAAAGCTAGCCACAGGTCCAATAACTGCTGCTCTAACCTCTGTGAGATGACTTTCATGCCAGATTGCAGACACACACTTCCTTCTGTAACAAGTACGTGTTCGGCAATAACAAGAACAAGTTGAGATTATTTACATAGTGTAGATAGGTGTCAGCAGACACATACCGGCAGCACCTGAGATCCCAAACACCAGAAAAATGATCAAAGGAATTTGTCTGTGTACTACAAGTTGGACTAGCCTCAAGTGCAGACAAAAACACTGGAAGAAATATGAACATATGGTGTAATACTTCCCAGCATGGCAAACAGCCATGGCAACCACTTTTGGAGTTATAATTAGATTGGGGAAGCAAAGCTGGAGAAAAACAAAGCCAAGCATGAACTCTGAAAGCATTTCAGTTCAAGGTCATTGAAATATTCACCACGTAACATAATCTGTGATACCATTCTACCTTTTCTTTTCTGATAGCTCTGCAAAAGCTAAACAAACCCTAAGAAACACACAGTTGCAAAATAAAAATAAAGTGCACTACAGTGGCTAGCAATATTTTTGATGCTGTTTATTCTGGAGACTAAGACAAGGCAGAAATTCAAAATAACTATTAAAAATAATTGCAGGTTTCTCCAAAGCAGAAATCAAATAAGAAGCAATATTTTTGCAAGTACCCAATCTGAAAAGGAGCACTTGTAATTTGTAAGTAAAAGTTTGGTTTTGTTTTTCAAAGAATCAATTATATAAATCTCTCTCATTTTAAGTTTTCCAGGAAAACACTTAAAACAGTTGCTTTCTGAATTCATCTACCCTGCACAAAGACTATGATTACAGAGTTCTGAAGGGTGCAGCGTGAAGGGAGATTAGTAGAACATGGACTGTGACAAACACTCCCCAGCTCTGAAATACTGCACATATTTTGAATGGTCCTTTACAAAGTTTTCTACTAAAAAAAAGACACTTGTAACTTTTTGAAGTTCAACATTTATCCAATAAAACTCATCTAATTTTGGTATACCCGATGAATGAACTGGTCCAGTACGTGCCAACAGTGACTTACAAGTCAAAAGAGCCACACTTGGCCTTTCTACAAACAGGAAACCATCTAGAGCAGCACATAGGGTAACAAAAAATGTTAAGGGTTGGATATGAAGTCTCATTTATGATACTTAGACACAAGCTTGGCTTGAACTGGAGAGCAAAAGAATTCAAGTTCCTATGAGGTAATTTCAGAACTCTCAAATGCATTTTAAAATTCTACAATTACCAGAACTTTATTTTCTCTAAAAAACAAACAAACAAAACATCAAACAATCCCAACCTCAAACCCAAAGTATATCCCCAGTTTCTATGATGAACTACCAATATGTGTTGCAGGCAGGACAGCTGGGGGGGGCAGACCCAGCATAGGAAAGGAAGCGTTCAAGCTGCCCTGTCTGTCTTGAAAGGAAAATGGGGATGGGGAGGCCACATCACAGGTAATATGTGTTTCTCATCCCATGCATGGACATTTAACCATACTCATAAGCATAGCTGGAGATGGCTCAGAGATGCTCAACATGGTCTCACATCTGGCTTAGGAAAGATTAATCAGTATAAATGCCAGCAAACTATTTGGAGAATGCATATGGGATCCTAGTTCATACCTACATTTTCACTGCAGGTCTCCCCCTTAGTGTTTGCTTTAGAATGAAGAAGGAACTGGTGAAAATTGGTGAAATTAAAAATACAAAGCCTGAGGTTTCCCTAAGTGCAGAGAGCAACTGTAGCAACGGAAGCATCCTTACAGTGATCCCACACTGTCCCTCAACCCAAACTCAAGAGATAAAGTTGTTTAGTTTCCAAAGCCGGTTTTAAAGCTACTCCAGATAAACCACTTACAGGGGAGTTTTTTTCTGCAGAGGAAATAACATGTTGTGCAAGTTAAGAAACTCCTCAGACAGAAACTCCTGACCATTATCTCCCCGGGGAAGATTCAAAGTGTTAAAGACAGTGAAAGGCTTTGTATCCAAATGAAGCTTTCCACAAGCATGAAGGAAAGTCAGGCAAAACTATTCTAAAATTTGAAGAGGTACATATTAAAACAGCGATTTAGGAAGTAATCTTTTACCTAAAACTCTCAATCTCTCTGCTCCGACTACTACTTCATTGTCATCTGCAGAAAACAGCAATTTTCCAGAGAGGGTTTTCACCTCAAATTTTTGGCTGTGTGCTTCCACTGCTTGGGGACCTAGAGAGAAGAAGAGATTTAGCATAAGCTTTTAGTGAAAAAGTGTAAGAAAATCACACAGTAGCTTCATACATTTAATAACCCCATTTTCTGAGATTACCCTAACAGCTCTGCATGCACAACTTGCATCTGACACATCAAGCAGGGACGTCTGTGCTTTTCAGAGGGTGACCTCTCCATAGAAAAGGGCACTGTTTTCTACCCAAATAACAACCCCTCAACTATTTCAACTTTTTTTTTTTTTTTTTCTTCATGCTTATGCATGTCTTAAATTCACCATTAAGTTTGGCATAGCTGGGAAATTTTTACAAAAAGACAGATCCACATGTGAAATAGCAATGAATGTAACCACGCTTTGAAGGCATTGGTACAGCTGTAAGAGGCATCAGGACTTCTGCTTCCTGACTATGTTTTCCTGGTGCTGAAGTGCAAATGATTCTTGGCCTATTAAGTATGCCTGTATTAAAATGATACTGGTGTCACGCACCATCCAATTAAAAAAAAAAACAAAATAAAACAAAAAAACTAAAACCACCACAACAGCAACAACAACAAACACCACAGGAACAAGTGTTTTGCTTTAAAGCTGCAGTTTAAGAGCTTGATCCCACCTCCACAGGGAGGTAACTCCTGGGAAGTGCTGAGGATTTCCATCTTGGCCCTGCAGAAGGATGAGCCATGAAGGGAAGGGAACTGTACGCAGGCCCAGATGAACAGCAGGGTCTCTCACATTTCAGAAAGTTTTTAGATGAATACATCTTAGCTCTTATTTTAATTCCACTGCTTCTCCTGCAGGCTGCTGTGCAGTGCAGTGCTGAAAAGCCTCTGGCAAAGCATTTTGTTGTGGAGCCTGATAAACATCAACTGCCCAAACAAGCAATTCTGTGCAGGTCTGTGGCCAAAAGGCTACAAAGAGCAGGCCCTTCTGTTACCTGACCTAGGCTAAGCTTCTTACAAATTGCCGTCTAACGGCCCTGTGCAACCCAGTCCACAGCCTCCCTGGATCATGCACTGCACAGAGCTGTGACTGGACTTTGCTGTACTTTGCCATCTTCCTGACTAGTCTCATTTCTCAAAAGCGAGTCTTTTCTTATAAGCAGTTTCTAACTCCATCTATACACAGTGTTTGCCTGCACAGGTCATCTGTATTAGCATCAGGGCACACACAGAGTCACGTGTGTGGTTTGGGCTGCAGAAAGGTGAGATCCCTGTACATCTAATTCTGCAGCAAAACTTATATTAAAAAAACAACTGCAGCCATTGTGAGAAAATTAAGTACTTCCAAGCTTTACGTTTGATTTGTGCCTCACTCATTAACTGCCTCCATACTCATCAGTGCAGCACACACAACGCGGGATGACACCTTCAGTCCACTCATGAACCAAAACTGTTCCAAATGCAGAAATGAGCTCAGTGACCACAACATCACGCCAGGAGACGTCACTGACTACATCCTCCTGAGCTCTCATGAAATTAAGGCACTTAAGGGAACCAAATACCCTCTTGAAAATATATGCAGAACCGACAAACTAAACAAGTTCTTCAGAATGTGAGAATCTGAGAGCTTGGGGTTGAATTTATTTCCTTCCTCCAGGCAATTTTCATGCATGCCACTTAAATCATTGCTTACTGAAGCTGCATATTTAATTATTTAATACTGTGACTAGAGGCCAAAATGTTATTTAAGCAAACCAAACAACTTGGTCTCACATAGAAACAACATGTTTATGGATTACTGTTTCTGCCACAGAGCAATACTTCTCCCAGTCCCTAGATTAATCTCAATAAATAAATATCTATCCTATATCACATATATATTATATATATTAGTATTTTAGCATCTTTCAACCGAAATTATATATGCATCCATTCAAAGGCTGCTGTGTGCTGTGGATTTATGAAACACCCATACACCCATCAAACACACTAATGCTTGGAAATATCAGTTTTCATCTGAAGAAGAGCATAAAAAGCTCTAAATTGCTGAGTGTCCGAACCCAGCCCCAGTCAACCAGCAGAGTTCCCAAGATCTTAGGCAAGTTAAAAGACTCTCAGGAAAATCCTGCCTGTTATGACAGAAATGTCAGCCTGCATATGTTCTTCTTGACCCTGAAGTCGTACAACTAACCTTTCTGCCTCTGGATTGGCTTTCAAATGAAAACGATGGTCTGCTTCGTTATCAGAAAGCACCAGCCAGCTGCCTCTCCAGCACAGCTTTCATGTCTCTAGCTTTGTTTCTACAAAGTAGAGCAAAGTTTTCATTTGTACTTCACAAGACACCTGGGCTCCCCTCCGGCGAGCTGTCGGAAGCCAGCGCAGCATCCCACAACACACCCTCTTTCATCTCGTCTTAACAACTCCACGCAGCCTTTCCCCCTCCTTACCTGTTACAAGGCGAGTAAGGACTTTAGTCTTCTCGTTGAGGATGTTCACCGTCACATTTCTGGCAGACTGGAAGTACAGTGGGTTGCCCTGGAACGAGACCATGAGAGCATGCACGTGAGATGGGGGCAGGCAGCCCGAAACCAGCCTGCTCCAGGCACCTGGCTGCTGCTGGGCTGCCATCAATGACTGCAGAACTGGGGACGAGTTTGAAGTGCCAGGCTACCATGCTTGTACTCTTGTGTGTTGATTTGTGTGTGTCCCATCACTGCACAGTACTGATGTAACCCAGAATAGAATAAGCTTATCTGGAAGGGGCAGCAGATGAAGCCCAAAACCAGGCAAATTTCCTTTCCTGCAACCTTCCACTCCTCCTCCAAGCATGCTGGTGCAAGGGGAGTTTTCTGAGACCTCTTATATTTATGTCAGCTCCTGATGCTGCATTAATTTTTATTGTCCGGTTGAAACCATACTCCACACCTCTTTTTGGCTCAGAAAACATCTTAGAGACTAGCCTTGTTTTAGGGATGGTTAGCTTTATTGCTGGTGTAAACCAACCAACCTGTTATTTAGAACATGCAGATGATATGGGACCTGACCTAAGCGTCCTGAAGTTCAGGGTATTTGGGGAGGCTGATTACAGCAGTGCATTTCACAGTCAAATCTGCAATACTGCATACAGCTTGAGACGACTACAATGGGTGATTGTGTATAAGTACTTCACGGACACGTGAGTGAGCTGTGCCCAGGGAGCTGTGAATGAGAAAACCTTATTACGTATTGAAACTACCTTTGGTCCCAAAGCACTTATGAACCATCCAGTACTTACAACCACCACCATCCAGACTGGGAAGCCAGCACGTACTGCTTCATACCAGACCCATCTCATCAGGTCTGGAGATACACAAGACATGAAGCCTTCCCCACACCACACAGATTTCTTCCCATTTTTCATTTTTATGCTTTAAATATACCTCTGAAAAAGAAGCTAGAGCAGCTGTTAACACACAGGAGCCACACAGCTACCTGGCACCATCCGTCTCAGGTATTTCTCCCGCTGAGTGAAGCCAAAGAAAACCCACAGCGAAAACCATCTGGTTCCTTCTGTGTGGAAACGTGTCCAAGACACCTGGGAATTTGTGTTTTCTACAGGCAGCCCCAGTCCACACAGGTGGTTTTCTTAGGGGCCATTAGCCACCTAAGGCACAAACACAGGATGACCCCAACTTAAACCAGCCAAAAGTCTAACACGTGAGGTGGAAATTCACTGCTAGTATGTCTTCATAATGTCTAAAGCAAACAGCTGAATAAATTCTTTAATCAACTGAGCCGGAGGATTGGTAGAGAGGATACAACAGTAAGAAAAACAGCAAGGAGGTGAAAATTTGATGTTCATGCACTTCTTACATCAAGGTCTATTCCGACTGCTTCGAAGTCTTTCCATTAGGAATGAACATTCAGGAGTGTATAGGTCAGGCATACTCTCTTGGCCTCCTGATTATATAAGGAATATAATAAATATTTGTATAAATGCTATCTTTCTGGGTCATGGCAGAAGGACTATGTTGCCTGCATATAAAGCATAACAGGAGCACAGAAATGCACTCACTGGGGTCCTGTGATGGACCAGAGCTTCAAGAGGCACTTGTAGTGATGGGTGAAGAGTTCCCAGCAGCAGTGCTTGAAGAAAAAAAAAAAAAACACATAAAAATGCCACCCAAAACAACCCCACGTGTGAACAAATATTCACAATAATTACATTTGTGGCTTTAAGTATTTGTGCTGCATGTACCTAGGAGATCAACCTTTCAGAAAAAAAGGAAGGAAGAAATGGGTTTTATTTGTTCAGTTATAGCTAGACCATTATGGCTTCATTCGGACTATTTGCAACTAAACTATAATGCAAAACTAAAAATAATAAAAAGAGAGAATTCTACATAACAACTTCCAGACCTCGGTCAAGTTTCAAAAACTCTTGGTGTCTCTGTCTCCTCATACACTAAATAAGGACAAATCATCCTTCTAACCTCTGTGATATGTTTTACAGTATCTGAAACTGAAATATTATTAATAAGTTCCAAGAGCAATAGAAATGACTGGTAATGATTTTGCTTTTTTTATTTTTTTATTTTTATTTATTAATTTTTGTGTTCTTTTCCCAAGCACCTAGGAGTTAACATTGATTACCATTTTATGGTTAATAGCATAGATAAAGGATTACTTTCACCTGAAGACCCTTCTCCTCTGGCATTAATTCACTGCAGCCCTGACCAGAGACCTAATTTGAACACCCTTAGGGATAGCAGCTTACTGCTACATTTTCATTTCACATGTACAGATGAAGGATATTTTTAAAGGCAGATAGCTACAACCCACATGAACTATAGCTGCAGATGAGATTATAACCACTATAAAAACACACGATATGTAGCACAGAAAGGTCACGTTTTTGATTTGCACTACTTGACTTTTGTTTATGGAGTTATGTAAACACAGAGTGTTTTGAAAAGGCCAGGAAACCTTCTAGTTCAAATTAAGGTAGGAAAAATCATTCAAACCCCATGACTGGTTGGCTTTGAAGCTCTGTTACTGTTCTTCATAACAGGAGGTTCACTACAGAAGTAGCGCACGATAAGCCAAGTAACCGATATAAAAAGAGTTTCAGAAAAAGTTGCTCCAAAGAAGTCTTACAAGACAAGCTAAGAGCTGGCATCCACCTACGGAAGACTTAAAATACATAATCAGAACTTGAAACGCTTATCCTAGCACAGTCATCTCATTCACTGATTCAGAGCTCAGATTCATGCAGCCTTCAAAAAACTAGATTTCTCTAATGGAAGAGTTATGTTTTTATTGGTCTGCAGGGAAGGAACATTTCAAGCACTTAATGCAATGCCCGCTCTCATTTCCATAATTCTTCTTCCATTAAGTAATGAAAAAGAGCTAAAAAAAATTACTCCCTTCTGCTGAAAATTCTGCAGACTTTGTGTCCATCATCTTCTGTTTACAAAGGTAACAACACTGACATATTTTACACACTGAACATTTAAAAAACAGTCCCCTGTTGCAAGCTTAGTGATGAAGCCAATTTCCTTCAATCACATAGGAAAAAAACACGTTAAAATATTCTTAAAGAGGTTAGAAATTATAACTGAAAAGTGGAAACCTTTCAATTCTCCTAGCATTTCACATTATCATGACACAAAATTAAGTATGCTGATGTGCTTGAGCAAATGGAAATCTAGATATCAACATGGCATCATCACCACAATAAAAATAATTACCTGCAGTGAAGTAATATCATCACAAACTTTATAGACCTAAAGTTAGAATATTAGCATGTAATAAAAAAACAAGAATGATTGTACTTATAAGACTGCAAGTATGAGAGATACCATGTTTCTGAAGTACAATATGTAACAAACCAGTTTAGAATCTTTCCAGATAAATAATATCAAAGAAATTATACATATTTTATTCTGGGACATGATGCAAAGAAAACTGAAGTGAACTGAAAACTGGATTTAGCATTCTTTTCAGTTCTGAAAGTAGAGAAAATAATCTTTTTCTGTTTGTCTACCAGTTTCTCTAAAAGAGGTTCTACCCCATTCTTCAGGAAAGCACATTTTAGATAAACTAAATCTGATATCTCTGATCACACAATAATCCAACATATTTCACTGCTTGCATGCTATCTGATGTGCTGAGAAATCTCTTTCTCTGTCATTTGTTCTTCTTCCCCTCAATCACAAATAGTACAGCAAGGTTTCCCTGCACCTTTCCTTAGCACAGACATGGGCTGCTCTCAGCCAGGTGCTGGCACTGACACGCTCTTTATGCCCAGAGTTGGTTGTTGAAACTTTAATCCCTTTACCATGGCCTTCCGTTAACTTCAGTGCTGCAGCAAGTTAGCAGAGTTGTAGTTCATGTCCATTTTAGCCACCCCATAGCACTGCACCGAGCTGCCTCCAATCCACCCTCCTGTGTGACACTGCAAATGAAATCAGCAGTCACTCCTTTCTGATGCCGTTTGACATTACTGTTTCTTTCCAGTGATCGCTTTGTTCATTTGGCTGAAGAAATTGAACTAGAGACATGGACGGGAATAGGGCTTTTTTTTTTTTTCCCTTCTGCATGTTTTCCCATTTGCTTCTGGCTTATCTCAAGCATTTTCCTTGCAGAATACTGACAGAGGATTCCACCTGCAGTTCCATTTCTGGGGAAAAGGTGAGGCTGGGGTCTTTTAGGGACTCTCATAGGTTGGTTATCCATCTCCACCCCACGGCAAATCTATTATTCACCTCTGCAGAAAATCCTACATAGTAAACACATCATTCTGCCCATTACTCCTGCCCTTCATTAGCCGACCCAACAATAATGCAAACGTTTGCAGGCAGAAGTCACCCCAGCTATTCAATACATTAAGATGTTGGATATACATTGCAGAACAAAGGATCTGTAAAGTGCAAATTTACGTCAAAATAGTGTAGCTTGTTTTCCCACTAAGCAGTGAGGTATTCAGTAAAACACAGAAGACTGCAAAAGGTATTGACTGCTTGTTTGCTAGGCTAAACACACGGCAAAACAAGCCCTAACAGCTCACTAGGTGTTTTTTTTGTCTCACTGTGGAAGAGATGCTAAAAACTCATAGATCAAAGACCAAACCAGAAAAAGTACTTTGACTGACAACCCAAATTTGCAGCTGAAGCAATCTCAGCCAGTGCTGTCTTTAAGAAAAGTCAATACTTTAATAGATGCCTTTAGATTGTTTTAAGGAACTATTAAAAGCAGGTGCAAATCTTTCTAAATTTTCACAGGCAATTTTAAAATAATGCATCACAGTCCATGCCTGTGTATTTTGGACAGTTAAAAGCAATAGCTTTGATTTGATCTTATGGATTCAAAGAGTCTTCAAGGTAAGTGCACATGAAGCTTGTGGAAATAATGAAAATGGTGGATTTCCTTCAGGCTTGAAAATAGTAATGGGAAAAATTAAAACATTAAAGTTTAATCCAGCCTGGCAAAGAACAGTCTGGAGAAGCCACTCAGAGCACCATTTTCCTGCTCATCTACACGTCTCACTGACATAC